GAAGGCTTTTTCCCCTCTATTGCCTTAAATAACTCCTAGATGCAGTTCCAGCCTGCAGTCACTCAAGACATGTCTACCTGTAGCTAGGAGTGTGCCTCCCAGCACGGGTAGACAGATACATGCTAGCTCTGCTCAAGCCATCACACTAAAAATAGCTGTGGTCATGGTGGCGGCTCAGGCTAGCTGACCAAGTACAAACTCACTCAACCACCTGGGTATGTACTTGGGCTCCTAGTCTGATCCACAATCATGGCCAGGGAGCCGTGGTCGAGAGGGGCGCCACCCAAGTGCAGCAAGCTGACAGGCCTGGGCTGCCAGAACGAAGTGAGTGCAGACAAGCCCAGGGCTGAAGCCGCCGGGCAGGGGGGGCAAGCAATGCCGCCCAGAGCTGCCAGCCTGGCGGGGACAAACAGAAAGCAGGACTCATCCCTGTGGAGCCAGCGCACCAGGCCCAGGGTCCCCACAGGCCTGGTGGTCAGGGAGCATATGGTCAGGGGGAGCCCCTGGGCTCAGAAACTCCTCCCTGTGCAGTTCTACTTTTAATCTAAACCAACCCAGTGCTGTGTTTGATTTAAAGTGAAGGTTAACTCCAGTTAATGTGGCAAGCTACTGGGTATTTAAAGAACAAACAAACCTTAATCTCTCTCTGAATGGCCCAGGAGAAGGCTGGATGTTGCAGAGCACATGGTTTGGGGAAAATTCGGGACTGGAGGATGTTGGGGTCATCTTGACAAGTGTAAGTAAGGCCGGTGGAGGAGAGAGCATGAAAGTGGTATAACAAGCAGGCTGCTGGAATCAGAGTTGCCGAGTCAATTGCTTAATACACAAGACACTCCATGTACGCTGGCTGTAAGCATCCAGACTAGGGAGCTACAGCAGCAGAGCATTTTGAGGCACTCAGGGATACAGAACAGGCAGTGACAACCCCTCACTGGTCTGGACTGCACTCCAGAATGTTATAATGACCAATATACAAAGTGAACAACAGATTCAGAACCCCATCACAGGCATAGTAAGGTAAAGAAACATTGGCCCCTGGACTAGCTCAGAATCTCAGATTTATTTGGGGTTTTTTTGAGTAACAAAATCAATATTACCCCTCTGGTCAGCTTACAACTAGTACAGTAGAACAGTTAGAAGTGTTACTTTTGAAAGCCCCCACTTTCAACTGTAAGTATCTTTAGAGAAAGGTGTCTAGACTGAGAACAATAAAATGGCTTAAAGCTAGTTTATGAAAACTTGAAAATGGGATCTACAAAGCTACACTAAACTCCTTTGACAGTACTAGATCAGTACTGCTTTAATAAAGCACGGGACATACTGCATGAAAAATGGATTATTCCATTTTCTGTTTTTATGAATAGTGTTAAAAAGCAGAGCATAAAGAAACCTTTGTAATACCAAGTAAGGGCAAGTGGTTATGACCAAGAACTATTACTTAATCCTTTTTTTTTTTTTTTAATTCTTCTTTAAACCTCCTTCCCCTTTTCAGCTTGCCCAGTTATACTCTTCCACTTTACATAACCCATATCCAAACAATATCAGGAATGGGGCAAATGGGGGGACTAGAAAATACAGAAGCCAAAGGAAGGAGGCAAAGAGAGACACTTGAGGTCTTTCCCTCATTTGTTCCTGGACCCTATTATACTCATTTTCCTAAAATAAAAAAGCAGCCAGACTCTAGGCCATTAATTATTAATATATACTTACTTGCATGTGTGTCACTGACTATCTGATAGCCTGAGTTTACAAACATTAGCAAAGCTTCAAACACTAGAGAAGTAGAGTACTACTCATGTTACAGATAGGGTAACTGATGGACAAAGGGTAAATGCTTTTACCCATAGTTACATAGCAATTAAGTGGCAGAGCTGAAAGCCAGAACCTATTAATCCTGACTTCCAGTTCCTTGTTCTAACTACTAGGTATATTAGTATATTTTAAATATATATAATTTGTTAGATCTTCAAACTCATAGCTCTTAAAACCAAATTTAGTTATCTTTATGACTATGAAACCAATATCCAAGTTGTGGTTGCCACGGTGGGCAGAAAGAAATCACCTTTCACCTGAAGCAGAACATTCTCAGGTCAAAAAATCACCCACCTTATTTCTTTCTACCCCACTGCCATCATTCTTAATTAATCTAGTTTACATAAAATTAGCCAAAAGAGGGCATATTAGTGTTCTTTATCCTCCACATCAAATATAGGTGGCATCTTGCATACCCTTTAATTCAGAAGAAAAGTATTACTCAAAGATATCCAATAGCTAGCTTTTCTCCTGGTCAGAAAAGTGAAAAATCCTTCATATAGTCAGTACATGCAACTTAATTTACAGGTGTACATTCAGCTACCATCACTACTTATCTCTAATTTTAATGCATGCGAACAAAAGATATATTGGAACTAGTATGCACTGAGTAACTAACCTTAGTCCTAGTTTTGGACACTGAAAAAAAATAGATGTATTCTATACCACATTCTATCCCTCCACATTATCAGCTAATACCCAATGCCAATCGCTTCACATGTGCAATAGTAAGAGTAGCACTTGAATTCTGAATGAAAGTGGTACATCTCTCTATCTTAAAAAACAGACGGACCCCATATAACTACATTACATGTACTCCAGATGAGGAGATTTTATACATACAATTAAATCATTTTATACACATTTTCCAAAACTATATGTAACCCACACACCTCCTGGATGTGGTGTTCTGTCCCATCTAGTGGCATAGAGAGAGGCAGAAAGAGAGATTAATGAGTCTGCTCTACAGCCTTAGCCAACAGCCAGTTAGCTTTTAGCTCATGCAGTAGAGGCTCCGACACTAAGCTCCAGAGATCCCAGGTTCGATCCCGCTCTCTGACAACCAGAGTCTGTCGGTGTTACATATACAATATGCTGCACCCTCACCAGAGAGAAGGAAAGAAGAGCTAAGAAAAGAGAGGAAATGCACCCTTTATCTCTTTTGTAGGTGAGCCTACAGAATATTATTGTTCTATTAGCACCTACTTAAGTGTATTCTCTTATTTGATAAGGAGGGCTCAGTATCAGATTTAAGACTTCCTTCCACAAGTGACAAATGCCTTAATTCATAGTAGAAAGCAAGGAATAGGGTTCCCTTGCCCTAAAATCATCCAAGAGAATACTTCCACCCTGGTGTCAATTCTCCTATTCAAATTAACTTTAACACAAACAAATATACTAAGGAGTTCTTCAATAATAAAACAAAGCTGTTCAAATTGTCAAAATGCAACAGCACGCCAATTAGCAGATGTATGCAGATCATGTCGAAACCACTTTCCATGCAAGAGGCAAAAGAAACCACACAGTTCTGCAGTCAGCAGGGAATAGATCCCAAAGAAATTAACTTCAGCATTCACTGAATGTCATATATTAATGGGACAATGGCTTGAATTTTAACTAGCATTTTTCAATCTGCACATACCAGAGTCATATGCTGAATTAATTTTACCTTACCATTATGCTGATAACTTTCACATATCCAATTAACACACACACACACTCAACAGCATAAAGGTCCCTCTTTTCCTGTTGGAAGAGCTTTCCTTTATTGTGGTTAGAGACTGAAGTGGACATCTAAAAAGCACCTGCCACTGCAAATACCATGTGGACTTCTTTTAATGAGCAAATGTAAACATAAAAGATTAAAAGACTAGCACATCTGGAAAAGCTCAGGCTGTACCAGGCAAGACAATTCTGAAGCAGTGCAATGTTTGTGACAGTTCCAGCTCCACAGACTGGAAACTAATTTTGCTGCCGCCGCCACCTCCTCAAGAAGAACCAGAAGCTCACCTAGAATATCCACAGAACATGTGCATCTTGAAAAGACGCATGACAAGGTACCAAAAGGCCCATTAGCACAGGGACTTCAGCTCTTGTAGCCTAATCAATGCTTTTTCTGGGAAGTGAGAAAGATCCTTCTGGGTCAACACTTAGAATCCTGACTAATTAGGAGTCTGACCAGACTCCATCAGAGCTGTAGGCTGTCATTCCTTTAATGCATGGAAAAGGCCTGTAGATGCATCCTGGGCAGGAAAGAGGGAGATAGACAATTTTAGGAGAGGTGTTCACATACTGCTCTCTCTAGAAACGTTTACTCTACCCACCTCCCCCTTTCCAAAGTGTTGATGGTTGTTTCCTTGCACAGCGTGCAGCTGGCAAGATGAAAGTCAGTGTCTCCAAGGACAAGTCTAGAACCTTCCTTAATATTTCTGCTCAGTCTACTACCCTGATGACCCTACAAAGTCTAAGAGGCAAAAAGAAGTTCAATAATGATTACAAAGTAATGCACGCAAGATATAAAACCATATAGTCAAAACTTTAGCTCTACTAAAAGTAAACAAAGACCTACACGCTCTAGAGTGTTGTCTCTATTTTTCATCTACATCCATGACCGAAGCAGCAAAAAAGAAAATTCCAGTTGCAACTCATATGGATTATAAGAGCTACTCTTCAGAGATGAACTTGATTCAAACCGCTTACTCTTGTGAGTTGATCGCTCTAAGTAGAAATGATGTGGAGATATGTACTGTATGCATATTTAAAGGAGGTTTATACAAAGTGTGTGTATTTCACCCTCATACACAACAGAAATAACTCTTTTCAGAGGTGCTACTACTCCACAGAACATCAGAACAAGATAATCTAGGGCCTTGAAAAAACAGCACTCCTAAAGCCATGGATCTTACTAACAAAGTAGAATACTGATTGAGAGCTAAGAACCTCTATTGCTTAATATGTTCTTTTGAATCCAAACATGTTATGCATTATGTTAAGATATTTTTGAAAGATCAGTTTTCATATAATAAATATTAGATTCAATTATGTTACCATCCAGAAATATAGTGCAGGTTTGTATAAAAATCATCCCACTGTATTAATATACATCACTATTAATGCCTGTGTTTCAAAGTTTATTTTAATTATTATACTTATACTTTTTTTTTTTTTAAGTATTAAAACAGTCTTACCTGTATATCCTGCCCACCAGCCCCAGGAAGCCACCATAGCTAAAAGCCATTTAAATAACACTCCTTCGATATACCAAAACCGCTTACTATCCAACAGTCGAAGAGGCTGCAGTATAATTAAATACAAGATGTAGGATGGAATAGCAACCAGGTTATTGGCAACCATGAAGCTGAACCTCAGGAGTCCTTTCAGAAGTGTACAGCCCACCCTCTGGGCCTGTTCTAAAGTCACAGCCATTCTCTTCACACCAGAGTATGTGGGCTCTTCCTACAGTAAAAGAAGAACAAGATACAGCCATTACTTATAGAATAAAAAGAAAAGAAAAAAACAAAAACACCTCTCTACAGAGCCAAAATGCTAGTGAGATAGATATTGTCCCCTTAACAAAGCTGCCTACTTCAGCCCCAATCCATTTTCATAAGCATCTGCAGCCCTTATTTACCTCTACGATACCTCAAAATTGGATTGGAGGATGAAAATAAAGTACATTGAACATTTCCACGTCCCACAGAAACAAATAAAGAAGTCAAGAATACCATACACCATCAAGGTGATACTTGCCTGCATTAAAAAGCTGTGATTTGAGAAGTTTCTGGGAGTCACACAAAAAACCTGCAGCTATGAACTAAGGTAAGTGGCATATCAATAGACTTGGAAGGATTACGTTTTATCAGTAGACATTGGTTTCACTGTACACACACAAACCAAGGAACAAATATTTCCATTGATAACTGAAGTTTACAGATAGGCAAAGTAAGAAAAATGCTGCAAGAACTTTTCTTAGAGATTGATTTAAGCATATTTACTTTTTGCTTTAATATGTTATGTTGGTAATTTGTATTTTAATGGTTATAAAGCTTTAACTTTCTGAATCTCAATATCTATCATCAGTAAATAATTACTGTCTGACCACATAGTTACCATAAATTTTCCACACCTGTAAAAATTTAAATGGATAAAAAATAGAAAAGATACTTAAAAACAAACAGCTCTATGACAAAAAAATATATATAAAAATAATAATTCTGCCAAGCCTACATATCAAACTGGACATTAGGCAAGTCATCATATAAATTACATAAACATACCCTGGAGAACACATTCCCTGGGCAGCAAGTGATCACTGAAAACCAAACAACAGAACTAGGGAGGGATGGGGTAGTAGTCCCTTCCCTTTCAAACTCAGTGACTTGCCATGGCTCACACCAAAAGGGGTAGGAACGCTCAGAAATTTTCCTCCTCCCGCTCGGAAAAAGGGGGAGAAAATACATTGTTTGCAACAGGGTTTTACCGGGACAACGGGAAGGGGAAATAATGACACACACTCCTCGTTTCAGAGGAGCAGCCGTGTTAGTCTGTATTCGCAAAAAGAAACGGAGTACTTGTGGCACCTTACAGACTAACCAATTTATTAGAGCATGAGCTTTCGTGAGATACAGCTCACTTCATCGGTCTCTCCAAAGTCAAGAGCTAGCACCGAGGAAGCAAGGTCTCCCTCACCCTTCACGCGGCGAAGCCTGGCTGAGGAGGAGCGGGGCGAGCTCCCGCAGCTGCGCTAGACCCGCCGAGGGGGAGCCAGGCAGCGAGCGAGGAGTAGGGGAGGACACCAGGGCAGCCAAGGGGGGACGTGAGGAGGGGGAAGCGGGGGCTAGGGCCGTTCGCCGGGTGACTGACCCCGGCCGGCGGGACTCACCTCCTGCGGCGCAGGGGAACTGAGGAGGCCGCGGCGGGAGGCGGCGGCGGCGCGTGTCGCGGTTGGCGGCGGCGGGAGGCGACTCGGCGGGCTCATGGACCCGGAGGTGGCTGGCCGGGCCCTGAGTAACGGGCCGGGAGCGCTTCGCTCCCGCCGCTCTACTCCCCTTGCAGCGGCCTGCGGAGAGAGGGGCGGGGTCACGGTCCGCGCCGGCAGGCAGCAGGGACCGGCCGGGCCCCGTCCCGCTTTTCGGCTACAGCTGCCGCGGGGCTCGGGCCTATCGCGCCCTCCCGGCACCGCCCCCGCCCGGCGCCCCTCCTCCCCGCGCCCGGCAGCAGCCCTCCGTGCCCGGGAGAGCCGGCCTGACAGCCGCGGGCGGCGGAGCGCGTCTGGCCGGGGCGGCATCCTGCACCGTCCCCAGGGTCAGCCGGGCACCCCCCCGGCCCCCCCCATGCAGGGGGCTCTCTTAAGAGCAGCAATCGGGTGTCCTTGCTCGGCCCCCCCACCGCATCCCCATCCCCCGAGAAGGGGATGTCCGGGGAGCGATGGGGGAGGCTGGGGGGACCCTGCCCCCCATTCCCGAGAAGGAGATCTCGGGGGAGCGATGGGGGGGTCCCTAGAGGTATCCCGGCCCCATCCCCGAGAAGGGGATCCCGGGGGACCAAGGAGGAGGACCGTGCCCCCTATCCCCGAGAAGGGGATCTCTGGGGAGGAGCGATGGGGGGGACCGTGCCCCCCCAGCTCTAGGTGCTTCTCTCGGGGAGCAGCAGGGGTCCGGGCCCCTTCCCGCACACCCATCGGGCTGGGTCTCCCTTCCCAGGCAGAGGCCGTGCCGGAGCTCCCTACCTCCGCCTCGCTGGCTCTGTCCCCGGGGTAGGCGCTCGGGGGCCCGAGGGATTCATGCCGCCGGCGGCTCGCGCTGCCTAACCACCCCCGCAGCCGGGCTGGGTCTCCGCCGTGACGGCTCGCCCCTCGCGCTCGCTCCCGAGGAAGCGGCGGCTGCAAGAGGCAGGAGCGGGGCTCACACTGCACCAAGCGCGGCTCCCTCCGGCCGACAGCTCCCTCTAATGAGCACAGGCTGGTTGCGCCCCCGGCGGGCAGGCCAGCACCAGGCGGCTCCTCCCCTTCCCCACGCCCAGCCCTTTGGCATCCTTTTCCCCATTGCCACCGGCGCTCGTGTCACCTGGCGCTCGCACGCCCATTGCTAGGGGCAAGAGCAGCCCTGGCGCAGCACCCAGCAGGAGGCGCTCCAGTTTCCCCAAATACTCTCCCCTTGGCCCAGGAGAGCCAGCCCCAGGCTATGCCGTAGAGCAACCGGAGGCAGAGCTCAGGACGAGTGGAGATTTGCATATGACAATTGCATTACACGCTGTTTACATAAGAAATTAACAATTTATTTGAGCATCAGCTTTTGTGAGCTATAGCTCACTCGATGGAGTGAGCTGTAGCTCAGGAAAGCTTATGCTCAAATAAATTTGTTAGTCTCTAAGGTGCCACAAGTCCTTTTCTTTTTGCGGATACAGACTAACAGGGCTGCTACTCTGAAACTGTACATAACAAACACATCTCCACTTCCATCCAGCACTTGCTCTGAGGACATAGGAATGATCTGAAAAACTACAGATCTTTAAGTAGTTCACATTATAAACATTTTTAAATGGCCCCATTCTGAGACTTTTGTGTTTGGTTGGAGCATATTCTTTTTTGCCCCAGATCTCACTACCAAAGAAATGGCAGGTTTAAGAAATAAATGTTGATTCACTTCTAGAATGTAACAAAATCAAAGCTGTACATTCCTTTAAAGTTTAGGGTTAGGTTTTATTAATAAATCATGACCATATCTATCTATGGTGCAGTGATAGGAGTATTTTAATTGACAAATATTATTTTAGAAATATGTATTCAAGTAGACATTCCACAGTCTCAGGCCTCTGCTTTGCAAACACAGGAACTGTGATCTGGGTCAGAAGGGGGAAAATCCATCTAATCTAATCCAGTATCTTGTCTCAGAGCGGCCCATACTAGATGCTTCAATAGAAGGTGTAAGAAGCTTGTCATAGGCAGATGTGGGATAAACTGCCACCCATGATAGGCTTCATCATGAACTTTAATTGTTAGAGATTGGCTTAAAGTCAGAGGCACTAGGTTTACTATCCCTTACAAGAATTATCAATAATAATTTTGGATAATCTTGAGATCCATGTAAATGTCTGATTTTTTTTTTTTTTTATAATCATGCTAAGTTCTTGGCATCAGTAACTCTTAGGCACCATGAGTGTCACAGTTCAAATTCCATGTTCTTTTTATCAGTTTTTAATTTCCTACCTTTTAGTAAATAGCTCTTTGTTTAAGTAACAAAGGGAGAATAGTAATTCCTAATCTATCTTCTCTATACCATTCATAATTTTGTGTACTTTTATGTCCCCTCTTATTCATCTCCTTTCTAAAGTAAAAATCCCTATTGTATAGAAAAACTTCAATGTAGAGCAACATTTTACACAAATCAATGCCGAAATTAAAACACTATATCCCAACAGATCAGCTTTGCAATCTGATTTATATCAAAAAGAAAGAATGCCCTCTTGGCCCAGCAGCCTTTTTTTTTGTAAAAAATAAACAGGAATTGAAATCAGTGGTGATGGTTGCATAAGAAATACTTCTAGTTTGTCAGAAAAAGTGTTTTTCAGAGGGCAAGAAATTAGTGAAGGAGAGTGTAAATTTCTGCTGCGCATTGTGGTGACCTAAAAACCCAGAAAGTAGTTGATGGGATTGCACTTTCACATAACACAGTAATGAGAAGACATCCTATGATGTGTTAGCACAGATTAAACTTTTTAACGGTTGCACAGAAATTTTTTTCACTTGCAGCTTATGACAGTGGTGATGCTACTAATACTGCATAGTTAAGTGTTTTTGTTGTGTGTGAATGAAAATTTTGATATAATTGAGGAACTGTTGGTCTCTGCCCACTTTGCTCTACAACCAGCATCTCAGACTTGTTTGAAGAACCAAGAACATGTATTACAAGAGCATGCAGTGTTGTCGTAGCAGTGCTGGTTCCAGTATATTAGAGAGACAAGGTAAGTGAAGTCATCTCTCTTACGGGACCAACTTCTGTTGGAGAGGGAGACAAGCTTTTGATCTTACACAGGGCTATTCTTCATAATAAGAGTTAGTGAAAATATTAAGCTTGATTGGTCCAAATTAGACAGTATTTGTACAGATAAGGCACCTGCGAGGACTGTCCAGAAGAATGGTTGTGATGTTTTGCTAGAAAAGTTTCTGGGTTCTTTATCAGACTGATTGTCCTACACTTTAGGAAGTGATGTGGTTGAGCATTTTACTGAATGAGCTAATCTCAAAGACCCACTCTTACTGCTCATTTCCTAGACTTCCTGTAGCTCTGAGACCAATCGGCACCTCCAGAATCCACCCATATCCACATAATTTTACTCCAGAACAAAAGGGTTAAATCCGGCACATAAATGAAATGTGCCTGTAACTTCTGTATACTTCAGAATGAACTACATGGATCTGAGGGTATAATTTGGCCTGAAACTTTTATTTAAAAATA